GGGGGGAACAACTAAACCCCCCCAAAAATTCAAGAAGCGCGTGAGCTGTCTTCCAGGCATGACTTAACCTCGTCTCTCCTAGAAGCTGGCATCTCAGGAGACATTCCCATCTGCCTCCAGCAGCTACCCTGCCCTTCCTGCCTCCCCCCGGTTTTTATTTTTGTGTTGTCTGAACACGAGGAAGAAAATACGAGGCCGTGGTCCCCGGAGAGCATGTCTGCTGCTGGCCCCTACAGTTAATGACTTAATCCCCTGGGACTTCAGCCATCTGCCCCAGCATCACGCGCCTGTCACCCCAGCAATAAGCAGCCAAATTAAAATGCAATCCTGCCTGAGAAGCTGGCCCTCTCGGAGGAAAGGTGAGGGGCTGTGACCCGCGGGGAGGCAGCCAAACCATCGCACTTTCAGAGGGGACTGGAAGGAAGGGGAGAGCTGCGCCCAGGCGGGGGTACGGCCCCATTTGGGAGCGATGCGTCACGTCACATCACCCCTGGGAGAACTGGCTCCCTGCCTCAAGGTGCTCTCCAGAAACAGCAATTTCTAACTTTGGATGGTTTAAGATAATTTCTTCGATGCTGAGAGCACGATGGACCTCATTAGGCAGCAGAGCAGACTCGGTGGGTTATTGATGGCACCCAATTATAAGTGCACAACGGAGCCAATTAGTGCCTGCAGGTGCTCCCCTGTCAGCTGGGAGGAATGGGCTCCTCATGGACCGCAGCTGGAGCATCACCACCACCGCCTCCAGAGCAGCATAGCAGGAGATGGCACAGAGCCACCACAGGGACCCCCGAGCACCAGCCCAGGCCAAGCGGGGCGGGAGAAGGGATGAGAACGGATCCATCCCTGCTGCAGGTCTGCTTCTCCCTCTGACGTTCAACCTCTGTGCCCCCAAACTGGCCCAAAGGATTATCCCCGGGCCGTTGTAAAGTCCTTCATCAACCAACACCCGAGGCACTCTTGCTGTATCTCTGTTTAAGATTATTTCAGCTCCTATCATCCTTCTCTGTGCTATGAGACGATGATCCAGCAAAAAAAAAACCAAACCCAACCACCCCTCCAACCCCCCCCCCCCCCACCCTGTTCTACAGTCCTCATCAGCATCCAGATCACATATCCCGTGGGCCTCCATCCACCCCTGGTACTAAAAATACTCTTTTGCTAGATTAATTTGGGCTGGGTTTGACATGAAGTCTGATTCCACAAGCATCTCAACAAGCCGTGCTGGATCATTCCTGGCTGGCCGAGGGAAAGGGCTCGTGGGACAGCAGACGCGGGAGGGTGGACAGGAGAGGGCAGGAGATGGAAGAGGTGGATGGCGCCGAACCAGGAGGCACGAGGAGCTTCATTTGCACCCAGCTGTGGGCTTCATGGTCGCTCGAGTATTAAATGTGAAGCTCAAACACACCCCCTCAAGCACATCTGCTTATTAAGACAACTCCGAGCATTTACCGCGCGTTCCCCCTTTGGAAGGCACATTCACGTCACGTAAGCTATTCCTTATATTAACCAAAACCAGTTTGTAACGGATCTTGCGATTTTTTTCCCCTTACAGGAACAGAAAATCCCAGCAAATCAGGCTTTGTGGGACACCTCCCCAGAGCAGCCTGTCCGACCGAGGGACACAGTCACATCCCCGCCGGAGGCCAGCCTGGCAAACCCGGATTATTCTGCAATATACGGAGCTCTCCTGGATAACATCCGCGCCGCTCCTGTACGAGCCCGATTCAGACGCTGTCCCATATCCCTGAAGCCCAACATCCTACGGCTCTTGTTGCACACGCCAACAAACACAAAGGAGCTGGCAGGGCTCCCGCTCCGCCTACGCGCAGGAGGGGAAGCGGCCGCGCATCCGCCAGCCTCCCCTCGCTCCGAGTACGGCACGAAGGGCCCCGCCCCGCTTTTT